TTTAAAGTGAATAATCATTTTTCTCAATACATATCAATAACATTACAATTCATTCATTCACACATTACATAGATATTTGTTGACATAAAATGTTATGCATAATTAAAAAATTTTAATAATTAACTATATTATTTTATAGTAATAAAGTTATTTATTAAGTCAATATATAATAATCCTTATACTACTTATCTTAAGTGCACATTATTTAACTTATCAGGTGTTTGTTCAAACTTATAATATGTGGGACAATTGAGTGCATAAAAATACCGTACATTTGTTATGAATTTAACACAATTGGAAAATATGTAACACATATACCATAAGAGTACACATAAAAACAACCTCGATTAGCTGATAAACGAGCATTCAATCTACAGTATATTGATGTATTGGTAATCCATGAGTATTCTTAAAATTTAAATGATCAAGGCAATATACTGTAATATACAGGTATAATAATTATACTGATTTATAGGTATAATAATTAATAGAATTAATAACCTTATTATATAAAAGAATAATGTCAATCAAAATAATAATTGATCCCTAACATCGTAAGTGTTAATATAAATATAACCAAGAAATATAGTACAGGCATGGCATATTCATAACTTAAAATATAAGTCATGATAATAAGTATACGTTTTAATAGTGTAAACTTAAATTAATTGTTGTATCAGTAAATCGTGTGCTTAGTTTATAGATTATGTTGTCGTGTAAAAATATAATAATCTAAGATTATTTTACTAGAAACAAAATGTTGTATCATTTTCCATTGATGACCAGCAAAACCTCCGAACATATGGCCAATTTTGGACAATATTTTTGTGGAAATTTAATAATTTTGTATTTTACAAAACTGTTATCCAAAAAATCAAAAATTTATACCATAAAAATTGACACGTCTTGAGGCATCACTACTGGTCCGACAGACAGTAGTCTAAGAGTTTGATTATCAATGTTGAGCCAAAATAACTTTATTGCCAACGGTTTGACGGGTGGGAGAGAACTGCCCGCCAGAGACAGACAGACAGACAGTCACTCATATATTCCCAAAAGTAAAATTTGGGCTTTTAGTACAGATTAAGAGGGATTATTCCACTCACTGGGAGATAATCATTTAAAACCTAAGTTAAAGTTTATGACGACATTAGAAATACACGAATAAAACATTGAGTTAATTGATTGAAAACTAAAAGTAACAGTAAAAGAAGTTGACTATCTAGGGGAAATAAAATGTACAAAACAAATAACGCACGACAAGTTTATTATTTGTAACTTATACAATTTTACAAATCGTCATCTTTAGGTAAATAGGGGCGATAATATGTGATCTCGATGTGGGCTTGATTTGCTTTATGTATGCAATCGCCAGGTTGAAGGGTCACAATACCGGCCAATTTACCATTCATAACCAATGGTCCACCAGCTTCATCCTAGCGTTAATATACAATAGACAACTACTGGCTAAATAATTTCATGGCATAATATGTGTTTAACAAGTTTTATACATACTACACAATTTTCGCCGTAAGTCCATTTAGTGCATATCATATTGGGTGGGATAATGGTGCGGCACTGGGATTTGTCCACAATAGTCCCCCGGTTATGTTTCAATACAAATTTGGGATTAGTATCCGGTACCCAACCGGTAAAGTGACCATTCGTGCCCTCACTGGGAGTCACATCCGCCAGCGAAATAGGCTCTATATAGCCCTTTTCAGTTGGGATATCACGTTTCAATTTAAGCACCGCAATGCCCCACCCCTTTCCTTGTATATCAAGTTCATCGATACGCACCACATCTACCTCATGCGCCAAATCGTTATATTGTCGGCCGCCATACCTTACGAATACATCTCTGAATTTCGTTCTATATATATGGCAAATACGGTATAATTATTATTGTTTATTAGGTTTTGGTTAACTTAATGAAATATAGTTGTTATTTGTCATTAGTAGCCCAACAACAGGCCTATCGCCAGAGTGGCATCACTGCGCACACTTACCCACGTGTACAGTTGGCGGCGGTCAACACCGTTCTCTGGCCGACCAGAACACCGCTGCACTTATGGGCGCTCTTGCCATTCTTCTCTACCCACACAGAAACGTGCCACGGGTCGGCGTTGGTCGGGTTTGCCCCTGATGACTTGCCAGAGTCGCCAGAGTCGCGAGAGTTACCAGAGTCGCGAGAGTTGCCAGAGTCGCGAGAGTTGCCAGAGTCGCGAGAGTT